AATAAATTTACGATAAAAGACAAGTGCGAAATTAAATTCCACCCCAAGGGTGTTATTCAGTTTGCTCAAACGGGAAGTTGAAGAGGTCGGATCGATATGGAGTTAAAAGCCTCATTCCTCCGTTCTCAAAACTAGGACCAAGTCCATTTGCTTTTGTCCGGCTTATTGGACTCGGACAATTTGATATATTATCAATTAACTATTAGATGTATAGTAGCGTAAAATGATATTTTAAAAAACAGGATAAATATTTTAACTGAAACCGTGTTTTAATTAAAGATAACATACCTTGCACGAAATTTTCCATTTTTACTCGACTTTTGAATAAAGTGGACTTGCCTGGGTAGCGCACGTTTTTTATTTATTTATTGTTTTTATTTATTTTTTGAAAGGAAAGAAAATGTCTAATTTGACTTTTTTTATGTATATTAGTGAATATTACATGTAAACAGATGTATTTCACCCCTATTTTTGTTTGTTAATACCGTAATTAGTTTAGTTTAATTATCTATTTATTTGTGTTATCCCTTATGTTGTCTTATCAATTGTGTAGAGTTGCAATTATTACCAGAAAACCTCATCCCACATCGCCAGGCTAAATCTCATATCTACATAGTTTTGTATTCAATCTCTTACAGCTTTCATCGAGAAAAGACGATTCTCTAATTGATATTTCAAAGTTTCATGTTTCATTTCATGTGCAAACATTCATGTTTGCTTAAATAAATATTAATTGGCAAAAGTCAGCCATCAACAGTCAGTCATAAATATTAGATTTTCAAATAGGTGTTTATTAAAATTAAAAACAACATATAATTATGTAGATTAACTAATCATTATTTATTAATTGCATTTTATTTTTATTATAAATAATAATTTTTTGTGTCTTTTGCAACAATTCAGTTTTGAAATTGAAAAAAAGCAATAAATAAAAATACAAATACAAATGTTTAAATATATTGTAGAATTTATAAAAATTTTAACGAACAATGAGATATTTATTATTATTATTATTTAAAAAAAAGGATTGCAGAAAGTTTCCAAACGTACCCAAGGACGTCGATGGGGATGCTATAAAAAGATAAGGTTAAGTTGAAAAAGGGTGGAGTGTAAACATAGTTAGATAAAGTTCTCGTGTATTCGTTACATTTCATTTTGAAATAAATTTAAGTGATAAGTAAAATTAATATATGTTTTGTTAATAACGTTGGAACTTTTAGAAAAGCCTCGAGGTTACCAAGTAATTAAAAAAACAAGCAAGAAGTAAAGAGCAACGTTTTATAATTAAAAGAAACGAATAACATTAATCGTTGGAAGGGAGGTAGAGAGGAAGAGAATCAGGATGCTCATACAAAGTACATAGTTGGACTTAGTTGTAATTTAACGCTAAAATGGCGAATCTCATTTCTTCTCCCTTCTCCGGATCGATCAGGTTCAACCGACTTGTTACTTTATACATCTCATTTTCGGCACCGAAAATAAACATAAAATCTTTAACTCGAATTTGCCGTTATCCGACTAAAAGATGAAAAGTATCATAAAAACCAAAGTGTTTATTAGACCATCACCTCCAATTTAAACTTTAGCCTTTCAAAACGTTTTAGCAAGGCGACATTCAAACGCTTTATCTCTTCATCAGAAAATGTCTGGTCAAATCGTCAAATACAAAGAATCTTATAAAAATAGGCGTTTATGAGGGAAGCATCATAGTACGTATTGAAATTTTATTTGCAAACGGTTTGTTAAGTATATCTGTTGCACCGTACTATTTTTGTTGTGTGGATATTTTGGCGTGACAAACAATCCGGATCGAAGCAAAGGATCAAAAGCAAAAGCTCTAAATATCGGCAAAAGTTGGCTAGTGGATTAAGTGTGTATGTTGCACAAGGGGGTGGCCGACAGACTCTTGATTCCACAGTGAGCGTTTACAGCCCTGCTACGCCGGTGAAAAGGATTTACTGCGCTCATAAAACGGGACTGAATTAAAAACACCGCTGGAATCCGAGATAGGGGATTTTACGAGCCAATTTGGCACATTACACACAGCAAAGTTTGGAAAAAATTCGGTGAAATGTGTTAAGGGGAAGCGCTGCTGTTTTAGGGGGGGCGGACTTCGTATGGCTAATGAGAGTGACATATGCAATTGTTTTGATCGAAACGTTTGTAGAGAGAAAGACCGACATGGGTTGATGTGTCACGTAATTGGTCCAAACTTTTTTGTTTTTCTACACTCCAAAATATCGGACACGTATACACACTTCTTGTAAACAACAGGCCCTTGTTTCGCGATTTTTTTTTTTAATTTGAAATTTTTTAAATATTAAATTCACTATTTTTCGTGGTCCGCTTGACCGATTAATAACATTCAATTTAATTAAGATTTTAAGTTGAGATAAAAAAGTCAAGTGTCACGAGCGGGATTCGAACCCACGACCTTCGGCTTGATACACCGCTAGCTTACCACTTGAGCTATCGTGACTTCGATCCCTTCTGGCACCAACTTCCCATTTCAATCCCACCTTTTTTAAATATTCTAATTAAACCATTCTACATGCTCGAATCAACCATGTGAATATATCAGTTTGTAGCATTTTTTTAATGCAGATTGAAATAAAAATGTTCTAAAAGCTCTCAAAGTTTTTCAATAACCAAACGATTTCTAAAAACCAAATATTTTTCAAGTGAATTAGGTAATAATTTTTTTTCCGGGAAAATAATGATTATTTCCTCCCCTCAATGTAACTAGTTGTATATAAGTTCATGTATCCGTAAATTACATATTGTAAATAATAATTACAGATTGTAATAAAAAAATAAAAAAAATTTTTACCGCTAAAATTGAAAGATGAAATTTTTTAATATTTTTATTTCGCCGTTCTACTTGCTCAAATCAACTATGTGAATACAGCATGTTTTATGCAGATAGCAATAAAAATATAGTAAAACCTATCAAGGTTTATCAATAATAAAAAAATTCTAAAAACCAAATATTTTTCAAGTAAACTAGTTTATTTTTTTTCGTGGGAGGGAAAAATATGAAATTTAGGTTTAGCACCTCTAGAGACTCTTAAATATAATTTTTTGTTTGAATTTAAATTAATAAATTTTTTGACCCCCAAAGTTTGACCGATTTTTAAGATGGTTTGGAATATCTGATTAAAAGGCTAAAAGGATTTTAACGTCAAACATGCCATTAGAAAGAAGAGGAATGTAGCTTTATAAGGAGGTATGGACCATAAAAATATATAAATTATTTCTATAAATATTTCTTTCTATACAAAAAATAAGATAATTATTTGTCAAAAAAATTAACCTCTTTTTTAAATGTTTGATACAGTTATAAAATGCATTTTCTTTAAAGCGAATTATCAATTATGAAAATCGGTTTTCTAGGTTTTGAGAAAAATGGTGTTAGATAGAGTCAGGGAAATAGGAATTCGAGTCACGGCAGAAAGAAGGTTTTTCCAATTATCAGACAAAAAATTAATTCACACAGATTTCCTCGAAAGTTAGTATCTAAAGGGTTTTTAACTCTAGAATTACGATAATGAGGTAAAATCCAAGTTTTGACCACGTTCTGACCTACTTTACTTACAGAATGTTTGTAAAAATATGCAAAAAGTTGGATTTTGTTGATTTATCTTTTTAAATCATGTCAAATTACAATATTCTGCGTCGTACAACAGTTTTTGTTTTTATGTCAACTAATAATGAAATTATTACACCAATTTTTTTTTTTTTAATTTTACGAAGGTATTTCAACCTTTTTTTATTTTATTTTTATTTTTTAAGCTCATTTGTAAGTATGTCAGGTTCGAATGCAGGGCCTCTCTGCAAGAGTGACAGGGAGTGTTTTTATTTATATTTAAAAAAAAATATATATATATATTTTCTCTATGACTGCCATTGGCTTTTTTTTGCATTTTCATGCACACTCCACCAGCATACCAAGGCATATTGAATATATGATTATATGAGGGAGTAATATATTTTAAGCAGATGGGAAGTGTTACATTTGTTACACTGAAGTTGTTTTGTGTTAAATCAATGTGATAGCATCATTTTAAACAGTCGTCCATAATCAGGCCTACATATTTTATTTAATAGAATTGATCTAAACAATAATTCGAAATTCCTATTTATTTCTTACTTAAGCATTAAGAGTTATGACTAATTGAATGTACAACCTGATTTTGTGGACAAAATTGTACTGGCATCATGTTGTCTACATAATAAGTCGAGCACAGACACAATATTTTGAAATGATGCGGCTTCAGTTCTACTTCCTGAAGCAGCTCTACTGAATTTACATACTACAAAAAGAAAATCTGGAAGCATTCCATGTTCAAGAGAACTTTAAAGAATATTTTGCAGCTAAGGCAACTCGATTGTGTATGAAGGGGCAGAATTCATAAATAAATAAGCTATTCATAAATCAAATCTGTACTGTTCTGTCTAAAAATTGTAAAGGTTTACATTGGTTAACTCCATGATTACGACTAAGAACTGACACCTGCACAACGAGATAACGAGATGGGCGTGATCTCCCTAAATATGTACTAGCTAAAGAAAACTGTACTGTGACAGCGTGTGAGAAGGGGGAGTTTAACGGTGATAGCAGTGTAAACACAGTAGTGATTCGATTAATAATAATATATTACTCTGTTAAGATATTAATTGTGTTGGGCTTATTACTTACATGAATTATTAATAATGCATCTTTGGAATACCATGGATTTGAATCCTCTCTGAGATATGGACTTTTTTTTATCTCAAATCTCATGTTTAAAAATTATTAATTACAGAATGAAATTGAAACCAATAAATTATCAATATTTGATTACACTTACTATTATAGGAACTAATCAACAGCTTTAGGGTTATGCCACATGATGGTAAATCCATTCTAAAGAAATTATATTGTTATTATAAGTTTAAGAACGTTTTGTACATTCATTGTTGAAACATTGTTTTTCTTTGACCATTTGATTGTATTTCAGGATGAAGTACTGGCAATAACGGAAAAGGTGGTCATCCGGGTGGAAGACCTCCTGACTTGGATAACACAGTCTTCTGATTGGACGTGGGGGCGGGGGGCCATCTGGGAGCGTGACTGCCCCCAGGCAGAATCCGCCCCTTACAATCCTATAGCCCTGGATATGGAAGACATCAACAAGGAGAAACTCTTGCTAGGTCTGTACAAAATTAAAATTTTGTGAAGAAAGCATGCTGCTTCTAATTTAGATTCTTTAAAGATTACACTAAAGTTACATGCATATTAAGAACACAAACGGAAAACCCAAATAATTCACTCCAACTTTACTGAACCAATTGCACAAAGCTCAAATTGCTTCAACTGTAAAAGACATTCTAAGATTTCCTTTTGATGTCTATGAGGTATTCTGGATTTTTTGTCTTTTCCTGTCAAAGCAGCCAGTGTCCACGCAAGAAGAAATAGTATGTAATACGCAGTAACAAATTTATTACAATTAAAACGTTGAACATGATTGCAGAATAGGAAAAGACCAGCAATTGCCACAAGCAGAATCTAACTTTAATAATCTAATCTTGATGATATGTACATGTTGCAATACACATGGCAAAACTGTAAAGATAATAAGAAGGATGAGGATACTTGTATACTCTAATTCTCTTTTTCAGTTTTCATATTGAACATTCCTAATAAATTTTTCAGGTGAAAAACATTGGGAGACGATGACAGGAGTTGTGGTGCTGAGCTACCCAAGATACTGTAGGTTTCGTGGGATTTTGAAGCGGCTAGAAGGAGTTGAGGACAAGTGGATGAAGGCAGCACTGACCGTCGCCCTTGGTGGATTCACTACGCCCTGGAAAGATACGAGAATTCTCTTTTGCAAAGACACTTTTGACTACCCAGAGCTGGAAGGTCATGAACTGCTCTGTAACCACCTTGGTACTGTCAATTATTTCATTGGCTAGGTGTAACATATTTTGAACTCAAACTTGATTACACTTATTTATTTTTATTTATATGTTAGAAAATTTGTAAAAAGTCTAAGCCTCGTATTTTGATTTCAATTATTTCAAACTATATGACACACATTATCCCGTAAAATAACAAAGTTACAAAATAAAACTGGTTTTTCAAATAGAACGGTGTTACTTTTTGTCACAATGTTTTGGAAGTAAATACATTCTACATACAAATGAGAAGACATGCATAAATTTTGAAATTAGTCACATATAAGAAAAGACATTTAAAGATTTTTTCATTTTTTATTTAAAGATTTAACAATATTATCCTTCTTCTTGGTGCTTATACTATTTTTTATTATTATTTAATTAATTTTAAATTGATGAAATTACTACAGAAGTTTCTCAAACTGGCTACCTTCAATGAGGAAGCATATGGGGCTATGGAGGTCGAGTGGTTAAGGTGTCCCATTCATATTTGGACACCAGCAGTTCAGGGTTCGAATCCGACAGTGACCCTGGCTTTTTAATTGATAGTGGTAGGAAAGGTAGTGTATTGTAAAGTAGGTATTGTAAAGTGGTTTGATCCCTTGCCCATGTCACATGATGGGAGTAGGACATTAAGCCTTCCTGTGTGACGGAAACTACTTTACCGGAGGGTCTATAAAGAAAAACTTGCACGATCCATTTTTTAATTGTAGCACATCCCTTATAAAAATTTTTGTCTCAGGTCTTCTTCTGACACATTAGGGTTGCATTCTGTATTTACTTTTTGTTTAAGAGGCCCCATTTAAAAAGTCCATCAGTGTCAAGTCTGCGAACAAGTTGGCCATTAGACTGCACCACATGTTCCAATCTATTTTTCATTGACTACGGTTTTTAGAAATTCTATTACAAACCCTGGTGAAAATGCATGATTAAGCTGACTTTACAATGGAACCTTTTCAGTGAGTATTGGAAAAATGTCTCCCAAAGGTTTAAGTAATTGGCTACAGTGAATGTTCATCTATAAAACCTGTTTTTCTCCTGCAAGTCCAAGCTCAAAACGAAAATAACCATCAATTCCTCAGATGTCATGAACTATGTTTTCTAGGCTTCAAACAAAAAGTTATTTAGCTATTGTTAAATGTGACCAATTTCAATATATATATATATATATTTTTTTTTTTCCTTTATTAAGATTGAAATGTTGGCACGATAAAGAAAATGTTTTTCTAAAACCAACATCACACCAGACTGCATCTCACGACCTCCAAATAATCATTTCTTTTTGTGTTGTCCTCAGAAGAGCCAGTATAATAAAAAATAAATATAAATGAATTTAACAAAATTTATACCTTCCATTTATAAAATCCAAGTTTTACTTTGTAATTCTTTCATTTTGAAATGAGGGAGGGGTCATGTAGCATTGAAAAAGTAATTGAAAAATAATTAAATATGAGTCTTTTACTTTTTTCAAATTTTGCACAATAAAAGTGTCACAAATAACTAGTCACTTATTGTTTTCATTTTTAATTGTGGAGAAATTATCATTTCATAATACAGTTTGTACTCAGTAAAATAAAAAATTCTTTTTTGCCGTTATGAATTAATTATAAAGATGTATTAAATATAAAAATCATAATTAAAATATCATAATTTTTATTATTAAATAGATTATTTCCAAAAGAAAATTTTCTTCCATAACTCACAATCTTTAAAATTACTTTGCAATAGCAAAATCAAAATAATAATTAACAATTGATTTCTAATATTGGTTATTTTAAATATTAGATATTAATTATCATATTTTCTAGGTCAAATTTAACTTTAATTTATCTTAACTTAATGTTAATACTTTAAATTTGTGTCGAACATATGTAACGAAAATAAACGTTTGAGCAGTTTGAATAATATTTAGTCCCAAGAGGCTATTAAGTTTTTGTTGTTGTTTGTCAACTAATGAAAATAACATTATAATACTTTTCCAGCTCCAAAACTTAAAGGAAGGCCACGGAAAAGAAAAAAGGCTAGTGTTTCTCCAGGGGAATCCGAGTCTGAAAGTGAAAGTTCACAGTCGACCAGCTCATCTACCTCAAAAGCGAAGGTGGCACCTCCAAAAGTTGGTTTGGTCAAGCCGAGGCTGCGCTGCACTTTAGAAGTTAGGAAACCATCAAGGGGACCATCCTTAGAAGAACGTAACTTCATGACATCCCTCCACCTCTTTATGAAAGAACGCAAGACTCCGATCAACAAAATCCCCATAGTTGGATTTAAAGAGGGTAATTTTTATTGTTTATTTTCTATATTTTAGACCCAAATTTGGCACTTTTTCTTTAATTAAATGTTGATATTAAAAATTTAAAAAATAAACGCTAAGAGTCACAACTTGCTAAATGTGGAGAAGTATTTTTATATTTCATTTTTTCGTGTATATAATGTATGTACATAGTACACAAACCTAGTGAAACTTGCATGTATATAAATAATAAATAATTTTTCAGTTAATCTGTTTCAACTGTACAAAAAGGTAAAAGAACTTGGAGGTTATGATGCTGTATCCTCAGGAAAATTGTGGAAATTTGTTTATGAAGTAATGGGAGGTGATATGTCAAGCACAAGTGCTGCAACGCTTTCCAGGAGGCATTACGAAAAGTATGATCTCACTCATGCTCTTGAAGAGAATTTGTGCCTAAATAATTATATTTATTTTTTCAGACTGCTTTTACCTTTTGAACGGCATATGAATGGGAACAACAGATCTAATCAAAACGTCAAATTAAAGTCGCTACCACCAGTGCCCATACCACAACTTGAAATAAAGGTGATTATACATTTCTAATAGTAAATCCTTTGAAAAGAAAAAATATATAAAACTATAAACTAGATCCCCATCCTAGAAAAATTGTTCATTTAAATAAGCATTTTTCTGACAGGCCAAGTCCTCGTCATCATTACGTGGTATAAGACTGAAACAAGAAAAAGTAGTACGCGAGAAAGAGAACATACCACAAAGACGGCCGTCAACTTCTGTTGTCGTTGAGCCTGAGATAATAGATTTGGTCAGCGATGAAACACCTGAGAAAGTTGGTATCTTACAATGCATGACTGCACGGATAAAAGCCAAATTAACCCAACATAACAAAATGTGCAAAATAAAGTGTCATCATTTCAAAAATATCTGTCTGTTGTGCCATTCATAGTCTTAAGTTAACCATTTCATTTTTCATTCTCTGTCAATACGTGTAGAAAAGTTGCTAACACTGACCATTTCATTATCATATTTAGGATCAGTTTTAATTACTTTTATTACATTTTACTCTCCAGTGATGATTCATTTTGAATAAATAACATTATTTGCATTTCAGAGTGTGACATCGATGCCAAGAGCTTTGAGCCCACTGATAAAAAAACAAAAATTAGAAATTCTGAAAGAAGGCGGTCTTGAAGTGACACCTGTCGGAAGCAGAGCATCTGTCATCAAACAAGCCACTCCACAGTCATCGCCACCTCCTACAACTAGCTTCCAACCACTGTCACCTCCAGGGAACAAAATTTCGATAACGGTGACACCCGACATGTCACATCTACTCTGCCCTCCTGGGCCGTCTAAGCGGACAATTTATGACAATCCGAGGGATTTTTACACCGGTGCGTCCAAGGATGTCTTCCATCCGCCTCCAAAACGGTTTTCACTCCCAGAGGTGTTAGACCTACGGACCAAACCTAAGATCAATATCGGGTCCAATTTAGAAATTACACTTGTCCCTCCCAAGAACGCCAAACCTCAATTACCCAAGAAAAAAGTTTCTCTTGGATCACCAAAAACTCCACATGTTTACCACCCCTACCCAGGCAACTACAAACCTTACAAACAGTCTAGCTTTGTAGATTTTTCTGCTTTATATAATCCAGTTATCCATCCGACATCATTCCAATCACAGCCTCCACGTCCCGACCATCTTCATCTGTATAAGGAATTTTTAAGAAGACAAGCTGTTTTTCCTTCACTAATCAAAGATGGATCTACGTCAATAACACTTGTTGGACAAACTCCAACTTCCAAATGACCAACAAAATAAAAAAATTTTAAAAAATTCAAACACCGAATAAAATTGTTTATTTTTCATATGTCAACATTAATTGGGACAATTTTGTCAGATATTTTGATTTGTTCAAAGTATTTTTGTACTGGATGGTACTTTATACATATATCGATTATTAAAGATCTCAACACTTATAAAACCGAAGTTTATTATAATTAATAGATCTATCACTTTTTATATTTGAAACGTCTTGAGCGTTGAAGCATTTATTTTCAGTGTATATAACATAAAAAGTGTGTAATCTATTATTTAAAGAACTAAACGGTAAGTGGCAAATTGGAGATAGTAAATAAGGTAAGCTAAAATTATAATTAAAAAAAGAAAAAAGAAAAGAAGGAAACTTCCTTTGTATAGCCACTCCAAATTTATTACTGAGTTTGTAAATATGACTAAATAGAATGATAGTAATAATAGAATTGTTTAAATTGATACAGCAGACTGTTAATTGCTACATGTATATATAATAAATATACACACACAAACTTATACATATATAATATCAGGATCAATTACTGCTTAACAACAGCAAAAAAGTTCATAATTACTTAAAAATTAGGTTCTTTTTTTAACCAGATTGGTGCCAATGATCTGACAATATTTTACAATTTAAAGCCCACTTATTTGTTAAATATATGTGTTCATTTTCTTTTATATGCAATTACATATCTTGTTTTGTATGCAGAAAAACAAAAACAGCTTTACTTAGATTTTAACAAAACCTTTGTTTGTAGTTTAATGTTTAGGACGTAGTATTTTATAATGAATAAACGGAAGAGGAAATAGAAATTAGGTTTTTTATACATTTTAAGAACGCATAAAAGTAAGAAATTATATTCCTAATGATTGTAATGGATGTTTTCATATGACTTTATTTCCAATGCTTGTTTTAACAAGTTGAAATGTGATTTTTCAAAAGTTAATACAAAAATATCACATAAGTAAGTGAATTTAAACTACAATATGATATTGCTAAGTTTCCATAACATAAAGTTTATAAAAAAAAAATACTGAAACCATTAAAGTAAATTGGATTAGTAATTAATTAGAAGTCAGCATAGGATAGTTTTAAATGTCTCTGCTTTCATAATATTTGAAATGAAATTGAACCTTATTATGAATGTTGGTTTGCAATTACAAAAAAAAAATTGACTCATTTTTCAAATATGAAAACATTTTTGCCTCTCATGGCAAGTATTTTTTATGTTCAGAAAACGCATATTGAATGTATGTAAAAATACTACAATTACTTGATAAAGTGTGTTGGCTTTATTATAAAACTAGTTACTGTGATGTTTTAATAAGTTCAATTATAAAATTATTTGTGTAAAATCTTTTACTTTTATAATAAAAAGATATTAGGTAAACTATCTGATTTTATTTTCAAAACTATTTCACAAAAATTCTCTTCTAAATAGAGGGGAGTTAAATTGGTCCAATTTTTATTTATTAAACGACGGCTTATTGCTTTATTTACATCAACAAAAATTAAGAGTTACCAACCAATCCCTGTTGAAAAAATGTAAGTACACTAAGTGAATTATAAAATTTAAACTTAAAAAAATAAAGATATTCATAAATATACTGATGGACAAAATAAAAAAAAGCACTACCCTTAAATTTTAATGTATTTAGGTTTATTCATATTTTGCATACCAAAAATAGATTTGGTTGTAAAAATAAGACATTTAAAAAGAAAATGTATACCTAATTCTTTAAAAAAAATTTAAAAAATAATAATCAAAACCAAATAAAAATGTAAAAAAAAACTTTTTTGTCCCTTTTAATACCAAGTATTTCCACCTGTGGTTCGTATCACGTCCGTTAAGTGCCTTTGCATTCCTTGAAAAAGATTTCTGATAAAATCCTGACTGTTTATTTCCCAGTGATCAAAAACAGCCATTTCTAGGGTGGGTGTTGTTAGGAACTGGCATTCACCGTTGTACTCATCGCTTAAGTTGTCCCCTAATATGCACGATTGGGTTCAAATTTCAAAATTACAATTTGGACTTCGAGTTAACCACATGAAACACCCAATACTACCATCAGGTAATCATCCACAATACAGGTCCTAGCACTGTCATTCATTAGCAAGAATCTCTCACCGATGTCCTCTGGTCAATCTCAGTAGGGACAGTGTTTAAATAAAATCTTAATTTTAAAAAGGATATAGACAAAAATGCAAAAAATTGACCTTAAAAAAAGTCAAAGTTTAACTGTAAGAACAGTACTGATCCCTTTGTCTGAATCTGTCTCACACTCAGAAGTGGATATTTCTAAATATAAAAATGGACCAATGGTAGTTAAAATATAACAAATATATAAATCAATGTAAGTCGTCTACATATTTTGTGTTTATTTACACCAACCAATGTATTTTAGTTAAAAATAATTCTTTCCTGTTTAAACTCAAGAGGCGATTATGTTATGAGCAACACTTCTGAGTAGCTCAAGTGGTTAGAGCAGTGGCATATTGAGGTTGTGGGTTCAAATCCCACTCATGACAATAGCTTTTTCATCATGCCTTAGATTAAAAGTATAATTTTCATACAAATTTCCAGTCTGGTTTGTCGTTTTTCTTGAACTAAACACCAATTTGTTTTCAATTACTTGTATTTTATGTGCTATGCATTTCAGGCTACATATCTGGTTCCCCCTTAAAAGCTACAAAATTTTTTTGAAATCCATAAATACCTACCTATTAATTAAAACAGTTAGAAATCTATATATAGTAATAATTTCAGTTAATTATACTTTTAATGTAAGGAGTGGGTTCCTGCTTAAAAAGAATAATTAATTGAAATAATTAATATGGTCAATTAGACCACTAAACATGAATGGATTAATATAATAATGTTTATTTAATAATTTATTAATAAAAAATAAGTTTATACAAAACAAAGTACAATAACATTATACAGCATCCTGCTGGAGTTAGAAATCAATATTTATGTAGGGGAAATACTGGTTATTTGAGCTAAATAGAACTCAGCAGCAAAATGTGATAAGTGAAATAATTAACAAATGGGTAATGTACAATTTTGTATGGAAGTTGAGTGACTCGTTTCGGAGCAATTGAGAGGATAGAAATCCTACAACATTGCACGAAGTCAAAATAATGACTTCATGACTACCAATAAATATTTAAGGCAAAATTTCTTTGTAGTGAATGCACTCAGACCTCAAATAATTAATAAAACACCTGTAATCATGAAATGGTAAATTACGTTACCAGATACGTTATTCTCAAGAAAAATCTAAAAATTCTTATTGATCTGGTAGTACAAAATCATTCAATCAACCCTAAAATTGCTAAACTCAATCAAAGCAAAATTTAAATTAGAGCCTTTCAGGATTCAAACAGTTTAAGGATCATACTTAAAAAAATACAGCACCGTTGTAAATTTGTGTATTTATTTAATTTGTGACACTCTTTTCCTCAAATTCAGTATCATCCACATTCCAATCGTACTGGACAATTTACTGGATGTAAACGTAGATTTCAGAACAGAAATGCCTAAGCACACCTCACCAGCAAATGAAAATTCTTTACCATCAAATCCCAACTCCCATAAAAATGTATGATCAGGCAAAGCGTTAATCCAACCTGAAAACCTTGAAATATTAGTCACTTGACTAAGGAATTCAAAAACAATGATAAGAAAGAAAATAAAGTAAAAATTAATCACCCAATCGTTATAGAAGGCCTAGAAAATTTAATTTTGAAATTAATTATAAGCAAATTAAAAAATTTATTAAGGCGTTTAAAGTGTACATATTTTCTTATATATATTTAATAATTATCATAATAAATTATTTCATGAATTCAAGTTTAGAAAAAATGCTTAAATCCTCAAATACTATTAGAAGAAAAATATCAAAATAAATTTTGAATAAATGCTAAAAGTCCATTGTAAAATCGAAGAAAGTCTTAAGAAAATATATTTTCTTGAATTCCACCTTGTTTTCTAAAGAAAATTTTGAATTGTTTAACTTTTAACCCATTCCAGGGGACTGCAGCATTTGAGTGGTTAGCATCTCTCTGCTTGTAGACACTGCAGTCGTGGGTTTGTTTCCCACACCGCCCCTGGCCCTTTTTTTCACACATCCCTTCCCCACAACTATATATGATGAAATAATTGGTGGAATCGGTATTCTGGCTTATACTTAAGCCCATAAGGTCATTCAATAAATAATTTTTTTTTTAAATTCCAACAAAATATGAACAAACTTGTCTCCTGAAACAAATTAAGCGTTAAAACTGAAAAATAATAAGATTGTAACTCATAATGGAGATTGTGCAAGGAACAAAGTTTACACCATTGTCCAAAATATTTAATATCCATTCATTTCGATTCTTATGTAAAATGACTGGTGGCATTGGTGGCAGAGGGAAAGTCAGCAGACCACAGTTTTAGCCTTGTTTACTCAGAGCAGTGGGAAAGGTAAGCAGACCACAGTTTTAGTCTTGCTTACTCAGAGCAGAGGGAAAAGTAAGCTAAGCAGACCATCATTTTAGCATTGTTTACATCTTAATCTCTAGCCATTTCCACAAAGTTCAATAATTGTTTCCTCCTTTTCATATTGGACCACCAAAAATGTGACTTCAGCAGATGTAAATTTCTGTATTCAGTAATAGTACAATTTAATAAGAATTTCATACTCGACATACAGATTTTAATGCTCAAACACAAACAGATATATAATAATTCTGGGATGTTATGTTTATAGAATTATTTATTAGAGTGAAAAGATGAAAACAATAACCATAGGGCAGGCATAAAGGGATTGAAAAATAAACAGGAAATTGAAAAATTGAAACGGTCATTTTTATTTACTCACCCCAATAATTGATTGAAGGTACATTGTTTCTTATTGTAAAACATACGTTGTTGTTTCAACTTTCAAGTATGAAAAATCAAACTTTAAAGTGGGACTTACCTGTACCATCAATTACAATGGCCAGATTTGCTACGGTCAACCACATTTTTTAGACATCTTTTCAGGCTACCTGATAGATCTCAAGGAAAGTTAAATTTGACATTTTCATATTTATTTCAAATAAATATTTTTTTCTAATCATAGAATTTTTGTTTTTTAAATTTTCTTTAGTAATTTTATTTTTATTATAAATAATAATAAAAATTGAGCGAATTCGACATTAACTAGGAATTTCTTTTAAAATTATTTTCAGTAATTTACATTATAACTACAAACAAATCCAATGCTATAATAAACCAACATTGTCTCTTTGAATAATTAATTTTCTTTAACGTGGTATAAAACTTTATTTTCTATAACAATTTTCCAAACTGAAAAAAAGAAAAGAAAACGGCCTTCATATTATTATTATATAAAAAGAAAAGTCTTAGAAAATTAATAATATCAGACAAAGTGGTTTTCTTTTGCTATCGTTAACTCTGAAAATAAAAGAGGGTTTATTTTTTGTTAAATAAAAGAAGGAAAATTCATAAATATAACTCCTGGTTATGAAGAGTTATATTCATTTTATGTTTTTAACATTTTATATTTAAGAACCATGTTGTCTTAAGTTACAAACTCATACACCTATGTTTTTTTATGTGATAACAACAATTGATTTGTAAACCCTTACTTCCTACATAAAGTGTTACACAATTAAAATCCCCCTGGAATAATTTAATTGTATTCTCTTTTAAATAATGTACTTATATTTACAAAGGATCATCTTGTCAAAAAAAGTCAATTACAAAATATATATATGTATATATATATATATATATACACATACATATACATATAAAAGAAAATAAAAGATGAAATATTTACAATTTTTGGATTATACAATTCAAAAACTATTATCTTTACTCATTTTAAAATATTTAAAAAAAATTAACTTTTAAGGTTTTGAAGAGACTAAGTTTTTCAAGTGTTCGATTTTTTAAATAAATTAATACACAACGGAGCCAATAAATATTGTACCATCTTTTTTTACTGCACAACAATTTTTATTAGCAACACCTGAAAAACAAAGGCTGATTTGACAAATAAACAAAATGACTCGAGTAATTAAACAACTTCAATTTCACATAACATTTACAAGAAAGGAAAGAAGAAAAAAAATTCTATCCAATGAGGACATGTGTTTCACTTCAGGAGCATTTACAAAATAAATGAATGCTTTTTTTTTCTCTTTCTTTACATCTAAGTTACGAATAGAAACAAAGGAATGAAATCAGGCTGTGGCAAACGATGAGGAACAATCATGTTTATAATTTCTTAAGACAACAAAAATATTTTTTACCTCTCTCTTAAAATACAACTCTTACTATTTTCACGGGATGATTCACTTTAACTTATCTTCAAGTTTTGTAATTTATAATGAAGCTCAAATTTACAAATGCAGGCACTTAATTCTTTTTAATAAAAATTTTATTGTATTGCCATAAAAGAGATGTTTCACCATTAAGTTAATATCACAATATGCTGAATGCTGCCTATTGTAATTTAACATTTTTGAGATATTTCATAAAACTTCAAAAGCAAACATGTAAACAATTTGGGTTTAAGACCAAATTATGATGTAATTTTCTTAAGCGAATCAAACTGAACGACTGGCTGTAACTAAAACCTAAAGATAATTTGGTTACAAATACATATTTAAAATTCCAAAACTTGAAGAAAAGTAACTATAAACTAAAGAATCTATTAATTTCAAGATAGAAATGTATAAACCAACAGATTAGATTGTACTTTTAAGACTTGCATCATTCTTAATGATTTTTAAAATGTGTTAAAAAGAACAAAACATTTGTATTTAAAATTGATGGGGAACGTTTAAACTTATTTGGAGTTGTATTTTAAAAAATTATCTAAGGATTGCAAATACTTGGTTTTACAACAAATCGATTGGCTATCATACACATTGAGAGTATCTCAAACTCATCTTCTGTTAATCAATGTTGGTTGAAACTAACTTGAGGAAAAAACAATATAAATAAATAGATACAAAGATCATGAACGCTATCAATTAGTAACAAATAAAGCTATATAAATACTAAAATGTGATGTGCAATAGCTATATACACATATAATTAATATAAATGGAATACATATATATGTATATATAGCGTTTATAATAAAACCTAGTACTTATTGTCTAAGTACTATTTGAAATGATAGCAGAAAACAATCCCTGTATCATGCATAATAGCAACATTGATTAACACAAAATTATGTTTGTTCTATTTGGGGGCTAGCTGTTTCATGGTCTGTTTCATCCATTGCCTTCATTGTAAATCTCAATGAACCCCCTTTAATTTGAAAAATAAAAAATTAAACACTTCATGTAGAGTTTAGGTTTAAAACAGTGATACTTTTATTAAGTAGTTAAAATTTTTTTGTGATGTGTCAAAACAGGTACTTGTGCATCAATAAAAAGAAATAAATAAATGGATTTACAATTTTTTTCTCTTGTTTCAATATAACTTATCGGTTTCTTTAAAGTTGTCTTAAATAAAAGTCACCCTAATCAGTTTTACAGCAACTTTACAAACTTGTGCTAATGGAAAATTTAATCAAATTTATACAAATTGACAGCTAATGCCAGACATTGCAATGAGCTAATCGATAATCTTTTTTGTTCATCAGTAATCATTTGTTGTTTTGTTTCACTTCTTCAATTCACATAACAAACAGGCTTTTTTTTTTCAATTTATAATTAATGTTTTTCATGTTTTAAATATTATCTATTCTTTAATACTTTACAAACTGACTTCTAACACCCCCTTTCTTTTCCTATCACAATGCATTCGGACTGCCAAATAGTCTATCGATTTGTGATGTTCATTTCTACACTACTGTAACACTATAAAGAATAAATATACAGTAAGGAATTTTTCACATACGTATAATAATGTCCACTACACTAAGTTAGCCTTTTGTGTTCAAATAGTGGCTGGCTTTTTGGGAAAATACTGATCTGTCTCACATTCAATGGTCTCTTCATTATTTATACACATTTTCCCATTCTTTTATATATCAAAATAACAATAGAATAATTAAGTAAACATATTAAGAGACAAAAGAATTGCACATTCATTCATGGACTCTATCCTCTTTTCTTATTTCTCCATTTTGTACAGTAAGCAAAAATGGGCTTTGTACTCGTTTTTGACACATTTTCTTCCTGATTTTCACAAATCTTGACTTATTCCATATTTAAATACTTTGTATATAATTTTTGTTCGTCTATCTTGTGTGTGTTGTATATGTGTGTTTGTGTATGTATGTATGTGTGTGTGTGTGAATGTATGAATGTATATTATATATTTATTTATTTATATATTTAAAAAATTTCAATAAAGGGCGTAAAATTATTATTACATTTTTTTTGTACAGAAAGGAGGAACAGATAATGCCCTTTCGCGCACACACTCACACACATTCCTCCTTCTAAGGATAGCTCACTGGTCACACATTTTTGCACACACCATTGTTCAGAGCACTTGCACTTGTGTTCGACTGGTCAAAGAACTGAAAAAAGAAAAAAATTAAATTTACACATTTACTAAACAAATTACTTATAATAAAACAGAGGGGGCCGCAAAGGTTTAGGTGTTGACTCGGCGCTCATCAATATAAGGAAAAGGCCCCGGGTTCGAATGCTGGACCGCTGGGGCCCTGCATCCAAACCCGAGACATACTTATGATTTAAAACGTATGCCTTATGATTGCAACTTGGAAATAATTATTACATTTTACTATGACTGTATCATCCAATTTAAATATTTTGGATAACTAGGACCAACTAACTAAAACATATGAATTAAAAAAATAATAATGTGGGAGGTTTGTGGGCTGACAAATAGCTGAGGTCATCACCGACACTGCTTGTCGACTTTATATAAAAACATTTATTTTATAAGTTTCAAAATTTAATAAAACCAATAACTATCATGAGCTTTCAACTGAATACTAATTAGTATTTATAGTAAGATGACTCATTGTCAACTTTGTCCTTTTCGTTTTAACCTCGTTATATTAAATACTATATTATCAGGAATTAATTGTCAATCTAAGCCTTTAACAAGTTGACTGCGGGCCTGTCCGGACAATGTATCAATACCCTGTGATGAATTGATTTAAAGGTGCCTCTAGATATGTGGGATTCGCCGAATCCCGACTAGTGGGGTTATTCGCCGAGCAACAATATTTGATGCTCGTCTTACACCGCTAATTGTTGGTTTTCTAGTCCGTGTCCAAGTGCACAAATATTTGTAAAATATCCAAACTCACAGCATCCACACATTCGGGAATAAACTGTACCGAGTGGTAGTACCAACTGTAATTATCAATCAACAGTAAGTATATACTTCTATTTACTGCATTATTTTTCAATAATAAATGATTCCTAACTTAGTATAGATGTATTAATGAAAGAACAACATGGCATTATTTCTGTTGGTTAGGAATTGATAGGCCCAACGTAACTGGTTTGGATTTCCTCGATCTGTACCAAGCTGATCCAATAATTTGGAACGCTTCTCTTCCAAATCACAAAAATTGGAATGAGGTTTTCGATGCGTAGAAGAGGATCGAAAGTGAGATGGGGCAACAGTACTCTGTGACTGAGTTTGTAGCCATTACACAAAACAATAACTGCAGCTCTCGCAATGACAGTTTCACTGTTGTCCATCATGATTGGTAGTACTTTGAGGATTCACAATTTGGTGAATGCCAAGACGACCTCGAGACTTGGCAAATGTTCGGCGGAAATCAGACTGAAGCCATGTCCACACTAGGAAAGGGGGCAGGGATATCAACTTGTCGTCAACAACTGTAGTCAATGTGTCAAAACAAAAATTGTATCACCCATAAATTTTCCTGTTATCTCAATTTTTTTAACTTTGATGAATGTACCCAAAATACAATAAATAATTCAGCATATCACGTAAGCCTTATTTTAAATGGCTTCAAACAAAAACTTTTATTATCTTGTATAACACGTATATATTGTACCATCTTTGTATGCATAATTGTACTAATTTTGTCTTTGTCTCATATAAACTGAACAATCATTGCCGTAAAATTTAAGTTTAATTGTTAAGTTATAAAATAAAAATGACAACAGAAAAGAAAAAATGGATATAAAGATGTATACAATGTCTAGCAAGTCATTTAGTAAGCCAGGTGCACATATGCGGCAAGTAGTTACCACCTGGTCCTCCTATGAATATTGTAAAACTCAAATACTTCAGATACCACCAATATGCATACAGCTGCCTGATGAGATGTCCAACTTAGAAAACAAGGCATTTTTACTTGCGTTGAATACAAAGAGTATATTCTCAAACAAGACGGAAATTATTAGGTACATACATCCATATATAAATTTGAGGTGCTTTAGACTTTTTTTTATTATCAAACTCATCCACCATTGCAAGATGTTTTGACAAATCCAAAACTACAATTTAAAACAAGAACATAAATACAGCGTAAGCCACATGAAGTAACAAAAAAGTGCCCATCAATATGTTGCAGCACCTCTGTGGCCTAGAGAGGATGCTAGAAAAAATGACCAGATCACCAGACACTGCCGTTGCACCACTGTGTGGTATGTGTACATTAACCGATTGCTTTGTACTTCTGACCACACTGCAACCCTGCAGGACGACTAGGTGGTAAAATGCAAATGTACACGGGGCTAATTGTTAAACTTTTAGTGAAATATGAACTATATCTGAAGAGACCCACCCAAGTAAAAGCGTACAGCCAATTTTCGGCAAACACTTTGAAAGTAAACTGTAAAAAAAGTAAAAAGAAAGTAAAACCAGTTAATAGCTCAGATTTCAAAAATTCTGTTTTTAACAGAGGCCATAAGACTTGTAAGTCTTGATAATTCTTGATTCTTCCCCACTAGTAAACAACAAAGTAACAAGTAAAGAGGGGGGGCTGCGGTAGTCGAGTGGTTAAGGCATCAGACTCTCATCTAGATTCCGCGGTTGTGGGTCCGATCCCCACTGTTGCCTCTGCACTTTTTCTGACGCCTAAGGACGCCTGTGGCCGCAATTGAAAGAAATTGACACGGCACTCATCAATGGAAGGGGCAGTATTGGATCTCAGCGACCCTGAATTTGCTCCCAACCCCCTTCAAAAATGAGTTTCTTTGATGGAAGAACATCGGGGAACAACGGGGGCTCAAGTTCACATTTGTGTTGTGAGCCCCCCCCCCCAAAAAAAAAAAAAAAAAAAAAAAAAAAAGGAGCCAGGGATAAAGTACAATAAGCTGTACAGCTTCAGTGCTCCTCCAGTCCTTGGTATCCATTGTTTAAAAAAATATATATATATTAAAAAAACCACAGACAAATTGTATGGATGTAAAAACTAAACTGAATTCATCCATCCAATAAAATTAATAAGAGGAATGTTTTAACTTACGGCAGGTGATTTTTTGTCAGTGTCCTGACTGGTGGGTGTGGATCCCTGTTGCTGAGGTGGGCCACCTTGTGGAGGAGGCCCCCGTCCGCCTTCACCACCGCTACCAGGCCCTCCTCCACCCCAAGTGCCACCCCCACCGGGTCCACCCGCAAGTGGGGAATCACTAAAAGAATGGGGGTCGTGTTCTATCGAATTGCCCGCATCGTATTGCGTGTTCTCTAGCCTCGTAATCAGCCTCTCGTCCTCATCTCCAAACTCGCCTCCCATCAGTGATGGCTCTCCGACAACCATGACATCCTAGGAATGAATGATTAAACAATGTTTCAAGTTGGTTTTATCATTTGGGCAAACCTGGGATGCAAGAGAGAAATTGGGTCCTGGAGATCTTTTCTTATTTGGAGCAGGAGGGGCGTTGTTTGCTGCACCCCCAGACTGTGAACCTTTCCTTTTTCGCCGCTTGTTTGCAGGCCTTTGTGATTCTGAAAATTCAATTTTAATTTAGTGGTCTATTATTTTTTCTACATATTCATTTCTGTGTTGTACTACCAGGAGGTGCTACCATCCGCTGCCATTTTTGGAAGAGCGTAGTTTTTAAGCAATCTCTTGGAGAAAGAGCATAAGCTTTATGCCTTGACATAAGTTCTTGCATGGGCTCTAATATTACACACAGCTGAAATTTAAATAATTTAAATATGGAAAAATTCTATCTCATATTATCTCTTGTTCTTCTTTTTCTAATATTAAAAATGTTAGATGTGAGAAATTGGCTCTTGGGACCTAATCTTGAGGGATCAATAAATAAATCATTTATTCATTCCCTCCAGTGTAAAAACATATAAATTATTATATATAGATTAACATATATAGATTACTATTTTAAAATATATAATATAAAACTACATTTAATTTAAAGAGGAAATGTAAAGGTACGTTTACATCCTACACTTTTCTGTGTAAATATAGTTGAGTGTCAGGCAGAAAATCGCTTTGACTGTTCGACAGAAATTACTAGAAATTTATGACACAGATATGAATATGACAGTTCTCAAAATGTTAAATTTGTAATAAATGTAGGACCATTTACATACAAAATAGATTTTTGTTTCTTGTGTACTAATATATGTATATATAAAGTGGAAGGTTTATGGGCTGACAAACTGAGGAATATCGAGTATGCTGAGGTCATTGGCTCTCTGTACATTTCTTTATTTTTCTGTTTTTTTTACACATTGTTTTGTTTTAAACTGCAGTCAATCTGGCTCTGATTATATATGTATACAACATCAATATTCTACATTGCTAGCCTCTCGGTTGTACCTCAGTGGACAAAAATGGACAAAAAAATACACTACATAGCATACGTCACCATAAACATAGAAGTCTGACCACATTCACTACCCAAGAGTACTTGATATTCCTCAGGAAGAGGTTAAACAACCTCTTCCTATCACACTAATAAATTACATTCATTCCAATAAATTAACATAAACACAACTCCTAATGCAAACATGGAATCCTGATCCTAGAACATGTACTGTGTACTTTCATTCTGCACACATGTAATTATTCTAAAGATGAAAAGGAAGAAAAAAAGTGTGTGAATTCGAGAGCGGGTTTGAGACTTTAAAAAGTGTTGCCTAAAACCAATGATGTCTGAGCTCAGTATTGAGGATTCAGTGCAGTTTTCAAATTTATGAACAAAGAAACCTGCTGATTTCAAAACGCTAGACTGTAAAGTTGGTCCCGTTATATCAAAGCAAGATACCAAATTCAGAAAAGCTATTAGTATAACAGAACAACTTGCTGTAACTTTGCAAAGCCTTTAGGTATCTACTAATAAGTAAAATTATTATTTTTTAAAATGTTTGTTAGTATGTACATTGTTTGAAATAGAACATAATATGTTTATCTAGGATTCTTATGCAAGACTAAGTTATTTTTCAGAATACCAACTGTACATTAAGCTTCGTTGTTCCTGAATTATGAATCACAATTATGTCAGCATTAAAAGAAGGTTACAATAAAGTAATTGTTGAAAAGGTGTTGAAGTAGGTGAAAAGGTATTTTCGATTTCAGATGATATGCATGCTAAGGTTTGTAGTTGGTTGTAGATTTGTATATTGTTTGAATTGCCTGATAAATCGAAGCACTGAACTCGGATTACTGTAAGCAGTCACATGGGTGTAGGGAGTATTTTGAAAGCAGCCTCGCAAAGGATGTAGTGAATTTTTTTAAGTAATCACACGAAGGGTGTAGTGATTATTTTGTAAGCAGTCACACAAAGGGTGTAGGGAATATTTTGTAAGCAGCCTTGCGAAGGATGTAGGGAACATATATCTGACAAATTCTTCAAGGTTTATATTAATAATGATTTCTGTCTGACATAAATGTGTGGTGATTAGTGACCGTTAATCGATAATTATTCAGAAATCGTGAGATGCGGTCTGGTGTGGCGTAGGTTTTAGAAAAACATTTTATTTATAGTGCCAACGTTTCGATCTTTATTGAGCCCTGAAGATGATCTCAACAAAGATCGAAACTTTGGAACGATAAAGAAAATGTTTTTCTGAAACCTACGCCACACCAGACCGCATCTCACGATTTCTGAATAATCATAAATATCAGTAATAATCGTCAGATGCAAACGTACGTTAAGACTTAATAAATCACATATTATTGTAAAGTACTCACCCTGAGGTAGTTGAGGGTCGAATTTGTTATCCCCTGCCTCGTGATGTTTTTACTAAGTTGATCCAACATGCCCGGATCCTGCTGTGAATGCATAGTGACGACTGAACGGGGGACCAATTCACGATGAGTCCTCACTGAGAGGTGCCAGGACTTGATCCGCATCAGGTCGTCGAATGTGAACTCTAAGATAAGCCTTCCTTCCGTGCACACCTGGCAAGAACCAGCTTCGTCTAGAGGTGCCCTATCTGACCACTTAAACCCCACACAGCCCCACAAGGCCAGTTTAGTACTAGTCACGAGAATGTTATTTGCTTAAAGTTGCGGTTACAATTGAAATGTTGACAACTTTCTTTTCTATTTATTTTCACAATTTTTTTTTTTAGTGTAAAAGGGCTTTTATACATAAAAAAGTAATAAAATATTAACCACCAGTTAAAACTAAAAGCGGAATCAAGATTTAAGAACACCTATCCACACAACGGTATTACATAGACAGACGAATATTAAATATAATTCTTCTGACCGGAGGGAGAAAAACTTCTGGAACTATATTTTGATGAAAAAGGGTTTAAACAAACCGTTATTTTAATAAAAATGAATCATAAATAAATAAAATAAGTAAACTAAAAATAAAAATATTCAACAAGCAGCAAGATAGGATTTCAATTTATTTCTAGATAATAATCTGAAATGCATGAGGAAAAAATACAACATAAGAAAGCATTTCTCTTGTAATAACAAAGATGTATTCTTCAAATAAAAAATATGGAATTGAAAGAGATAGTTTTACCCCAATAATTTACCGGCAATTTGCAAGATAGCAAAAAAAGTTTTATTTGGGAACAAAAGCTTTATGATATGGAGTGTGTGGAATTAAGGGTGCATATATGTTTTAGAATGTACAACCATGCAAATATGTGTTAATACATAAATTGTTAATTTGTCTAGGAAAACAATATAGTCAAAAAACCTTGATATTAACACTAATAATCTTTAATTTTAATAATTAAAAACATTAATTAATTATTAAAAATTAAGAGTTGAAATGTAGCTAAAAAATCAATTCACAATCAACACAATTATAAAGAATTTTTTATTGATTTTAAATTCTTTAATGATTATCTTTACTGTTTGTAAATATGAAAAAATAGAGCAGTGCATTGGCAACCATTTTATTAGAACTTAACATCACCTTAACAAAACAAAAAAACAAACAAAAATCAATCTGTATGTTGTTGTGATACTCAGTTTTTAGCATAATAAAAGAGTACAAAATTGTATACCTTTGTGAACATCGGTTTTCCATGGTGAGTCACCATAGTGCACTGCTCACAGTCAAGTGTGATACTTGTGTTGTGGAAAGATTCTTTTGGGTGTTTCAAATTATAATACAGTTCAGTTACACCCCCTTCAAATATACTTCGGAAATACCTAGGAATGAGCGTCCTCCCAATGGCTGTGGAAAGATCAGTGAAATTATTACTTGCAATATTATTAAAGATTGTTTGTACAGATTTGCAATATAAAATTACTTAAAAGCCTATTGATATACATTTTCACGGTTAGAGGAAGAGGACAAATCAAAAATAATAAATATACATTAATGATAATTTTGGTTAGATACGTCAATTTAAATTTTTTAAACATTTATTAAAGATTATTTGGGATTGCCCGAAAGAAAGAAAGTATGAAAAGAAAAAAGTGGGCTTACTGTATCTCTTTGGTCCGTCTTCTAAACAGAACGTTAGGGTGAGTGTTGCATCATCTTCAAAAAACTCTGTGGCGAATGCATCCCACCAAAGGTTATCACTTTCCTATAATAAATAACAAACAAAAAAATTATAAATAATTTTTTAAAAAATTGGTGGATCTATACACACTTATTAGCGTATGGTAAATTTACTTGAGAAATTTGTCCTTCCTTTTAAACTAAATTCACATGCTATAATAAAACTACACCCTGTGGTCATATAACTCATCTATCTCTTACATCTGTCTTCATTTGAGAATATGTACTATAAACTTAAACCATATTTGCTTAGTGGTCATAATTGACCATATTAATTATTCCAATTAATTATGCACTTTATCTAAGGCTTTCGGTTGAGAGGAAAAATTAGTGTCCTGCTCGTGATACTAATTTTTTATCTCAACCAAAAACCTTAGATAAGAAGAATAATTAATTGGAATAATATATAACATTCCTCATGCAGAGTTTAGTGTGAATTTTCTATTATATAAGGTGCAAGGAAAATTTAAGAAACATCTAGAAAAATTTAATATAAATTTAACTTATTTGCAAGTTTTTGTTACTCTTCTTTGGAGAGAGTGGGAAGAAAAGTCACTGATGGACCATTACTTTAATCATTATTTTTTGATAAATACTATAACCGACGTGAATGAAATCATCTGATTCTTATGATCTATATTAGCAAAAAATCATTATTATCATAAAAACTTTTGTTTTAAAGGGTGTGTGCATGCGTATATATANTGTGTGTGTGTGTGTGTGTGTGTGTGTGTGTGTGTGTGTGTGTGTGTGTGTGTGTGTGTGTGTGTGTGCGCGCGCGCGCGCGCGCGAGAGAGAGAGAGAGAGAGAGAAAAGACACATCAATTTAAGGCTGATTTATTACATGGTAGCAGAAAAAAAGAGAGAATATAAAATGTTATAGGCTGAAGAGTTGGTGTCTCAGGGACTGAAGTCACAATAAGCTCAAGTAGTAGAACCCCGTGGTACAATCTGGATCCACGCATAAAAACAATTAATCAATTCTTCAAAATAAAAAAACAGGATAGATAAGACAAAAGCCATATTAGACAATATGCCCTCCTCTCAACTCCCCCTTAATTAATTATGGATAGAAAATATTTAAATAAACCCAGGCTTGATAAGGCTATACCGAGATGCACATTTCCAAAAGCACATATAATGAGAAAATATTCTAAGTTGAAATTAAAGAGGCAGCTCTTCAATGCTGAGTTGTAAGGACAAGAGGTAATCAAAGATACCGCATTTAAAGGTTGAAAGGGATGAGGCTTGGTTGACAAAGTGAGGAAAATTTTCCAGGATGGAGGCATGGAAGAGGAAGGTAAAGAGATCAAATATGTGGGGAGGAGAATAGGAAAATAACATCTGATAAAGGAAGAAGTCAAGGTAGTATTGCTTTCGATAAGAAGAGTATATCCACTTTAAATTAATGTACAGGTCAGTCACATGGGGCCTACTTAGGAAGCCTAGGACCAAATGCAAAAAACAATTCATTAAATGTTTAAGCTGATATTCAAGCTCCCCAGTGAGTTCCTAGTACACAAACAAATGATCAAAGTGGGAGAGGATAACGGAGGAAAATAGGAATTTCCGTGTAATAAACGAGAGAAGTAGGCTGATACAATGGAATTGATGGAGTGTGGAAGAGCGGCATAGGGAAATCTGGGAGATATGGGGCTTATGGGACAATGTTCACTGATCTAGACAATCACAAGGTTCTTGACAGTGGGATAGAAGAAAATAGTGACAAATAATTTTAAACGGAAAATGCTAAGGGATGGAGGAGAGAACTGCATTCAAACACAATGGTACGGGACTTTTAACTTAATCCCATTTTCAGATGTCCCGTACTAATTGAGTTTAAGTCCTCTTGAATTCTTACAATTACAGCTTGTAAATCCGTGGATGGAAGCAATATTTTATGAATTTTGGGAAGCCATTAACATAACAGCAAAAAAGAAAAGTTCCATGAGCCTTCAGGTACTCCAGAAGTTATGGGGGTCTTTCTTATTTGGGACAGAGACTAATTGGGAATGGTCTGAAAAGAAAGAATGAAACCAGCGGAGGACATTGTAGGAGAAAGCTAAAGTTTTAAGTTTAAAGAGGTGGGAATGATCTATGTTGAACAGTATCAAAGGCTTTAGAAAAATCAAGGACAAGAATAGTGATTTTATTTTTTAGAATAGTGAATTGTGTAGAACAGTGAAGGCTGTTCACAACAACTCACAAGATTGAATAAGGGAATTTGTGTATTGCATGGTGAAATGTTTTCATTCATTATAAAATTTCTTCTTGATTATTATAAAAAATTATAATAATAAACATAAAAAAGGCGATTTTTTTATATTTCCTGCCCATTGTGATTAAGGAGTTCCATAAAATCAGGATGGGCACCATAAACAATTTTATATTTATTATAATTAAAAAAAGGAGATTATTTTATGTCTTATTCTTTTAGTATGAAAAACAATATTGCAAAATTTATCCCATTTAATAGTTTACCTAACTTTCCACAATAGTGGTTGTAGTTTCATTGTACAAAGGATGTGATAAAAAGTACACTGCTAATTACAATGCCTATTTTACTACTTTAAAAGATAGTTCACACTCATAGGTTGTTTACAATTGTCAATGGTTTCAAGCATTAAACGCTCATCATCAGTTTGAAGGAGTTACAAACACGTCTCTCGACATGAATTGTAAGAGGGAACCCGCCGATACGATGAGAAGCTGTTTTTTCATGCCGCTCAATTTTGAACTTGCGAAAAACGGGAATTACGACTAAATATTATTCTAATACATACTATTGTATAAGAAAAAAATATTTTAAATTAGTGATTGATTTGTCAAATATTATTTAGGTACATGTTTAAAAAAGGGGGGTAAATCAAAATCTATTATATTATTGATGCGTCTATTTAATTTTAAGTTTTTTTTTTATTTCAAATTTCTGAAACCAATCTAGTCCCCTCTCTTTTTTGAAACTATGTAACACAGTTGTATTTAAATTTAAACTGAAGTAGAGTTTTGTATCTTTCAGATGGTCCTTAAATTCAGAACTTTTGTTCGATTTACTCAAGTGTTCCTTAGTTCTCGTTTTAATTTTTCTGCCGCTGCTTTGCCCTATATATTTAATATCGCAATCATTACAATTAAGTTTGTAAACCCCGTTTTTTGACAAGTTTTCAACCTTGTCTTTAGGTTTTGAGAGTATGTCTCTTTAAAAGTTACTCTAAATCTTTCTCGTAGTATTTTACCTACTTTTTCTGATAGTTCACCAATGTATGGAAAGCAACGAAAACCTAATTCTTCATTTTTTGGTAGTTTTTTATTTTTCATAATGAGAGAGTGAGAACTATCTTTTAAAGTAGTTGAACAATGTGCACACCCCCTTTATCATTTTTAAACAATTTCAATTCTCCCCATAATTTCAAACGTTGAAAGAAATACTAAGAGTACGATTCAAGTAATAACCCCCCAATTACCTATACAACCTTCTTTTATGAAAATTATTAAAATAAGTTTTTTCTGAAAATCTAGTATGTTCATAGTACACAATAGAAAGCAGACAGTCAAAGCCAATGAATTTATCAGCATGAAAAAATAACTACGGGTGTTCATCATGGATCCACTTGGGACCATTATTGTTCATCATTTTCATAAATGACTTTCCTTTAAAGCTAAAAGAGAATTCTTGTCACTTTCTGCTACTGATACCACAGCAGCTAACAAAGGAAATTTAATTAAGGGCAAAACCAATCATCAAAACGTCATATAGAATATGCCTACGCATAAATAACAATATGAAAAAACGAAAAACCTCCTATTAACCTCGGAGACACGTCTTTGACAGTAAAGAACATATTAAATTCCTAGGTCTTAATACAGGCCAACAGTTGAATTGGAAGTGCATTGTTTAAAAATAGGAAAAAATTTAGTACCGTTGTTATACCTCCCTACAGTATGGAACCTAAAAAGCCATAATTAATTGCTATTACGGAGTTTTTATTCCGTAGCGTCTTGATTTGGGGTCATTCACCATCTTTGAAATTATCTTTTCCCTACACTCAGAGAAAGCCCATACGAATAATAGAGGGTCTAGGTTAGAGAGAAGACAGCCGTTTTGTATTCCAGCAGTTTAGTGTTCCGATGTACACGCCTTAATACTAGACAACATTAGCTCATCGTAACGGTTCTGAACTCTGATGATGAAGATTATAACCATCAATAAAACAACAGAATAAAGTAAATCCTAGATCTAGGTAAACTACTGATATGCTTAAACATCTAATAAATTGTGAAATTTCCCCCCTGTGGTGTGTGTGGGGGTGATAAACCTGTATGTAGTTTGGTGGTTTCTCATCATCTTGGTCTGCCTATACTCGCTGATTTTTGACAGTCGACGCGTTTCGGCAATTCGCCATCTTCAGAGTTGGATTTGGTGAGTGTGGGATAAATTTTTAATTATCTGGTCGTGGATGGTGGAGGGCAGGTTATGACGGTATTAGTATTGTTTGTCGGTGTGTTTGATTAAGTCGGAGTTTTTTTTTATTGTTCTAGTCCGTCTTTGGTCCTTTTCCTTCTTAATTTGCGTAAAATTTTAAATGGTGTAAACGATGTTTCTGAGCTATTGCTTATTTGTGTATTTCTGAGCGTCTTCTTCTTCTTTCTTCCCATGTTTGTTTGTGGTTCGTGATTGTCTTATAGTTGGTAAGTTGCATAATTCGATTTTCTGTCGTTGTCTCTGAACAATTTGTTCTTTGTATCCGTCTTTTATTTTTCGCCCTGTCAGCCGATGTATTTTTCTCCGCATTCGCATGTTAGTGTGTACATTGCGTTTTTTTCCAGTTGGTTCGTCTTGTCGATGTTTTGTCTTAGTAATTTTCGTAATGTGTTTGTGGTTTGTATGCTTAATTTGTTGAATAGTTAGTAGTTTGTAAGTTTCTTTCCCCACAAACGTTAACATTATCCATTTAGGGTCTGGTTGTAGTGTTGTTTCGTTGATTTTCTTTGTGTTATAGCCGTTATTATGTGCTATGGTTTGTAGTCTTTCTAATTCTTTTTTGTATTTTTCATTGGTTAATGCGAATGAATTTCGTCTATCATGTATTTCAGTGCCTTGCCGCTCGTGACACGTTTTAAAGTAAAAAGTATAATTAATCTATGTATTAATCTATACTTCTACATTTAATCTTAAAAAGAATAATTAATGCGTTGTATTTAGTGAATGTTAATTAATGATTATTTGGAGATCGTCCGTTGCGGTCTTGTGTGATGTAGGTTTAGAAAAACAATGAGTATAAATGTTTTGAACAAACCTAAAATCTCTATATTGCATACATCGTTGTATAAATACATTTTCGCATCTTTCACTTGTATTTGTATAATCCAAACAATGTTTGTAAATCCCATGCCCTGAAGATGGTCTAAATAAAGATCGAAACGTTGGCACAATAAAGAAAATGTTTTTCTAAACCTACATCACACAAGACGTGTGCTACATCTCACGATTTCCAAATAATCAATAAGCGTAATTAATTAATAACTTCAGAATATTTCACACACTACGCTAGAAGAATAGTTGGAAGGGAATACTTAACGTCTTCTGTAAACAAGTTTGTAAGTATGGAGTATATAATAAAATTACTAAATGACAAAAAAAAATGATATTAACATTTGTGGAATTAATAAATTTACAAATCATATTCTAACTGATTTTTAACTATATCAATTTGGAGCAGGCAAATGGGAATTTTATTAATTAAACAATTACTGATAAAAATTAATAGATAGACCGGTGTTACCAAAGTTATATGTACAAAAGCGGTGGTATGTAATTTTAGGTAAGTTGGCATGGTATAATTTTTGGTTAAACCCCTTGTTCCGTGCTCCTTGATGGACTAATATCGCCTTTTCCTCTCCCGTGGGGGGCTGGTTTTATGGTGGATGGTGGATGTTGAGGGGTGGGTTAGTGAGGGAGGAAGGATAGAGAAGAAGATAGCGGAAAGGGGCAGGTCGGAGGACGGCGAGGGGTAACTTTATTTGTGCGCCTCCGAGTTTCCCATAAACTTGGTAAATGAGTTTACAGCCGTTCCCAGACTCCCCTGCCTGCACCCCGATATCCTCATCCCCCCTGGATATGACCGAGCGAGAGAGAGTGAGAGAAGAGAGAATTTCTGAATTTTCTCTCTCTCCCTTTCCCAGCCGCAATCTTCCGTGAGGACCTTTTCAATTACAAAACCAATTTCAAAATTATTTACCCTCTTTTTTTCTATTGTCCTCCTGTACAAGCATATTTTTTTCATTCCTTGAATATCCACTTTTGTTAATAGTTCCTCCTCTTTTGCGGACAAGTGAAATGAAAAATAGGGCTAATTTATTTTAAAATATCCATATCATGTTTTTCAATATTACAAAAATACATAGAATTCTACATTTATTTAATATTATGATGCGCTAAAGATCTGCTAAAGTAACGCATACTACTGAAATATTTGTCACTGACAGGAAAATATCATTAAATACACAATACAGATAAATTTACGTACATTTGAAGTGAGTTAAATTTTTTCTACTCGTCGATTTACGATATCAAGTGTTATTCGCACCGGAACGGTGTATGTACAAGCAAAAGAGGCTATCGATTGAGAATGCAATGGCCCTGATGCGTTTAAGATACAGGGACGACAAGTCAGAATCATGTGATATGAAAAGGGCTTTCCAATCCTACTGGATAACACTTATTTAAAAAAACAAGAAATTTGTATTCTGACAAATATCTGCCCTACAACTAGAACTGTAACAACTAGTTCGTATTGATTTTATAGTGGAACTTGAGTAACCATCCAACGTATGCGGGAGTTTAACCATATGCCCTAACCATCCCAAAACATGCACATACAAAATGCAAATAGAAATTAGACAAAAGTTTTACTTACATCAGTCCTTTGTTGCAGCCTCTTGTTCAGCTCGTATATCCTGTAGTCAGGCTGTCCGAAGTAAGGGGTGTGCCTCCTGGGAACAGGCACACATCTACTTGTAATAAGTCTGTCAGTTCACACCAGCTGCCGGCTATAAACCGACGGCTTAATAACATGAGGACATTAATGGTCGAACATAGAATTCAATCGCAACTAAAGAGAACAATTCTATAAACAATATCGTAGCAATATATTTTAAAATTTAGTTTAGTTTGCCTTCCATTTGATTTACAGATTTTTCTCCGATTGTCTTTCTTTCATGTTTGAAAATGCTTCTACATATTTAGTGTTCACGAATAGGTATGTTAGTCGGCTTTAAATTTCCAAATGCATCCACACCCTGCGGTCAAAATTACGGAACATTTTTTAGAGGGTAACGAAATCTGCAGACTATTATCAATGAAAGTGAAACCAACTTTATTATAATGAAACCTATAGAAAATCACCAAGCGAACGGATATTATTGACATAACCACAGATTTAAAAGAAGCATTTAAATCTATTTTTCCTTTTCATATAGGACTGCACGTTCTACAGTATCCAAACAGCGCATTCAAGGAAGACATAAAACAATTCCGACTAATAAGGATTAAAATATCAGAAAAATTTAAAATTCATTACTCAAACAGTACTAAAAAATGTGTACGAACAACGTGGGATGATATATTGCTGAATGAGTACTGGTAATCGGTAAACCAAATCAAGATTAAATTCGGTCGTCAATTTTTATTATCGCTTACTTTACAGGCGAAGTGTAAAAGGTGTTAGATGGAAGTACTACAAACAGCCAAACATTCCGAGAATCTATCATCAACGTTAGAAACTTTAATCCGTTTATATTTAGTGGCCTAATTGAACAAATTACTTCTTTCAAATCATTATTCTTTTTATGTAAGGTCATGGTTGAGATGTTGAGAGTGTTCCGAGCGGGATTGGAACCCACGATCTTCGGCTATGTCGGTGTCCGAGTGGATCGAAGTCACGATGCTCAAGTGGTTAGAGCAGCGACGTAGTCAGCCGAGGTCTTGGGTTCGAATCTCCCTCGTGACACTATTTTCATCTCAACCAAGACCTAACATAAAAAGAATAATTAATTGTTAGAAACTTTTTTGAACCGGGTCATCGAATAAAGAACAATAGATCCTTAAGCGGGGCATATACTTTCAACTTTATTGACAATATTAGTTAGCGTCAATAAAAATTGACATAATGTTGGCTGTGTATGGGAGAGGTAGTGAAGGATTGAAGTCCGGTATATTTCCACCTCATCAATCCTCAATACCAATGCTCTTCGGTGATGGGGAACGCCTACTTGGAACATCTATTTCATTCCTAAATACGACCACGAGCCGGCGCATTGGCAAAACGCAAAATGTGGACATAACGCTAATTTTTAATTACTTCCCTTTATAATTAAACGATTAGTTTAAGAGATCTCGCAATTCAACTTTTGTTGATCAACTGAAATTGAATGAGGCTCGAATCTGTTTTTGTCTATGCGTTTCAGTAAACATTTCTTTGCAGAACCATTCAATATTCTTTCGAATTCGTTCTTCAAATGAAGAGGAGTCAGCCCGACAATTTCCATTTATTATATCACAACTCATTTTCTCTCACATCTTTATTTTTAGTTATCAAGTCACATCATTTGGAGGTTCATGAATCATAAATTTCTTGTAAAACTTTTGTACCAAAGAGGCCACCGCATACCATTACCTGGTAATCCGAGTCAAAAGGCAAACGTCTTAATTTAATAAATCCGGCAATTCCAAAAGATAAAATTCAAATAATATTGTAACACAACAGCTCAAAGCCTCAAACCCACTTGAGGCTGACTTTTGTTTTTTAACTATTTTGTAAAGAACAAAATGCGTACAATAAAGGTTGAACAGGAAACAGTCGACTGTGATGTTCACACGTTTTAACTTTAGTTTCAACTTGAAAGGAATGACATGACTTGAACGACAAAAGTCACTGCGGTTCAAACTTTGGTCAATCACCTTTGTTGAGCCGAAGGTTTTCACAGCAGATTTCGTTCAACTTTAGTTGGGCAACAAAAGTTGAATCATAAACCTGCCTTTCTATTGCGCTAAAATCACTAAACGCGAGGATCACTCGCGAAAATGCCGACATAAAAGCGAAACAAGCTGTCCATCAGTTTGCGCGAGACAAGCATGCCGCGTTCGTTCATATCTACACCGATTGCAGCATCACTGTTTGTTATCATGGCTAAACTTGTTAAGAATAAAAAGAAAAACAAACGAAGAACATTTCCTTCCATGCATCCTCTCTCTTGTTCTCATTATGATGGCTTCTACCTTTAGCCACAAAACTCGAGAGCTCTGATACAGTAGGATAAGTGCGACTTGAAAGCAGCCCTCCTGGTTCATTCTGAAGCTCGAGATGTGTGCGTTTACACGAAGAGAAATAACAAAACCAGATAGCCGATCTCACCGCAAAACATCCTCGGCCAATAAGTTCGTAGTCACGGCTAGGTATCCACAACGAGACAAGTGTCGCGTTTGTTTGTTTTTTCTCCACTTGCGGAAGTGATTTCCCGCAATGGAAACCCAGCTTGAAACGTGCTTTAAGCTCCAAGCTTATTGAAATTTTTTTGGCTATCTGGCTAATTTGAATCGCTTTTTCTTTTACAAAACGTCTTTTACATTTTTTTAAATGATTTATACCTACGTCAATTTAATGGTGAAATCGAAATAGTTTTTTATCCATTGGTCACCTTTCTTGCAAAACACGGAAATTTCACGGGAGGTTTGTACATTTATGTACTTCGAACGTCCGCCCCCTCCGAAACCTTCACAAGTGTGTCAAGAATGTTAAACGAAATGTACAATCAATACGTAATGAACAAACGGTTACCACCGTGCACTTTAGAATCTTGGAGTTTTGGAAGAAATACGGATATGAACAAATAAAAGTTGTTGGGATATGAATTGAAAAATTAAGGATAATCCTTCACTACAGGCAAAGCTGGGGTTAAGTCCTACAAAATGTAAAATTGCGACAGTTGTTGAGGGGGGGAATTAAATAGGGTAAATAAAATTGAAATTATTTTCTAATCCATTATACATAATACCTATGATTCTTCGGCATTAGGTCAGTTAAGCTCATGACGACTTAAGAAGAGTGTGAAACTGTGTTCATTATTAATGTAGTATTTTCTTTTATTTGAACGGCTATATTTTATGTTTTCCCTCCTTTTTGCCATTTTTCAAATGTCGTGTGTAATCGGATTGAATTCTCGACGACAAATGAAATGGCCACGGAGAGCTTTAGTGAAGTATACTTCATTTTAATTCATTAAATCCACTAATATTGAATTAGTTCGCATACAAAGGCGAGTCATCCGTAAATTGGAATAACATGACATCATTTTGAACGAAGGAAACCAAATCATTCACATAAATGAACAAAAAGAAATGACCGAGGACAGAGCCTTGTGGCTAACAATGTTAACAAATTTTAATGGGGAGAGCACATCATCGGATTTTACAAATTTCTCCATAAAAATATCGGAAGACCACATTTGCAATCCCTCTCACACCGTATGCTTCTAATTTGTTTAACAGAATTGCCTGATTCACCTATCAAAAGCCCATTCCCTTCCAGTAATGCATGAATAGTTTCCGCTATACACTAGTTAGTAAGTCTGTTGTATTCAATTCTGTTCTGAAATCATATTGACTTTGAACCAGACCATTGTGACTTTCCAAAAATGAGACTAGTCTTGAATGCAAATTCCAAGTATTCAGAAATAATCTGACTTATAGTTATGGATACAAATTTACTTACATAGTTTTTGTCATCTATACCTTTATAGACAGGGATGAATAAAAAAGTCCTTAATTTTTGAGGAAAATAACCTTAGTAAAAAATCATAATAGAAAGAAAAAACTATAAAAGGTAAAAGGACCAATTGATTTTAGAAAGTTGTGATGTTTTTAAGCCCTTTGAATACTTTAGCAACTTAAAACTCAGTAGCAGGTGGCAGAAAGAAACTATTATCATTTGGATTAATATTTAAAACTGTTCCTGTTATTTCGTGGTCTTTTTAATTTCATAATCTTATTTTTATTGGAACATTTATAAAATTAGTGTTGAATTCCTCAGGGTCTACCGCTATGGGCGTATGGTTGTTTGTTATGCGCCAGCATTCTCTGCATAAATTTGCAGCGTTTGACTTTTCTTTTATTAATGTAGTTTGATTAACAGCGTTATTGCGCTACTCTAGCTTTGATTTTTTCGTTAGAATTTTTTGTTTTGTCGCTCATTCTAAGGTCCAATTATAAGTTAAAAGCTGGGGATATATGCATTTTTGGAATATGGTTCTATCTTTTTCCCTTTTTAACATTGTATTGGGTTTTTATGATTATTGGATAACTACTGACCATAGAAAAGATTCAAAGCTACCAAAATAAAAGCCTTAGCACTTGTGAAAAGTTAGAATTCTATTGTTTTTGTTTTCAGCGTTCAGCGACAATGGTTTTGTTCCTAAATTTTAAAGCTAGTCGAATGTAAAGATCAGAAAAGAGATATTAACCGGCCGGCTGCTGGACAGCGGGGCTAAGAGCCTGATACTGACTGAATGAAGTAGAAGTAGAAATTTAATTTTAAAACTCTTTTGAAAAAGGTAAAATGTGTTCAATCATATTATTAGAATGTTTTTTTTCTTCAAAAATTTAATAGGTAATTGTAGGTTGAGATGGGGAGTTGGTGTCCGAGTGGATCGAAGTCACGATAGCTCAAGTGATAGAGGAGCGGCGTATTTAGCCGTAGGTCGTTGGTTCGAATCCCGCTCGTGACACTATTTTCATTTCAATCAAAACCTTACATAAATAGATTAACTAATTGAAAGAAATAATTTGGTCAATAGACCACTAAATATAATGGATTTAGTAGGTAAGTTAAATGCAATTTGTACAATTAATAACATGTACATTTATAAGATTATAACGTTTTTTTTCTAAATTCCGTCATACTATTTATTAGAAGTACAGTTTTTCTTTCTATTGCACAACAATTTTATATACCGTT